TCATACAAAAAAATGTTTATTATGTAATAAATATAAAAAGTTCTTTAGCCGAGGTAGAGATTGTATAGAACATTGTTGGAATATATGCGAAAAAGATATTCAAGTACTATGTTTTAATTTAAAATCGTGCCTTGTATTTTAAAAATTCAAAATATTAGTTCAATGTTTACTAATAATAACAGATATATTAGATATATTTTACAAAATGTTTTAAAAATCATGGTAAGCATCTTCATATATGTTCAGGACCTGATAAAAAGCCTCAAACTTGCATTGATGACGAATTATATATAGAAGATACTAACCTTGTTTTAAGGCTTGTTTCAAATTGGTTATTAAATCTTTCATATTCTCAAAATAAGAATAAAGAAAAAATATTGTGATATATGATAAAATTGTTAGAAACTCCAGAATCACATTCATCATTAATAAATATAGAGTTTTATCCACCTAATCCATTGCTTGTAAAAATTGCTATAAAAATTCATAAGTTTTATGGTTACTCACTTATAGAAAAAAAATTTATAAAGGCAGAAGAGTGTCAACAATTTGAAAAAATATTAGGAAATTTTATATATAATTCATACAAAGATATTGAAAAAAATCGGATTAAGTTAGAAAATCTATCTTTATTAGACAAATATTATAATAGTTTTCTTTCAGCTCTAATTAGTTTTTTTGATGGATTGATCGAATCTATTGAAAAACAAAAATATGAAGTAAGAAAAAGAAAAAACAAATAATGTGAACAAGAGAAATCTGAATTTAATACAGGTGCTATAAAAAGAATTACATTATTTCTTGCATCTATTATTCTAACAATAGCATTTCATTTATAGAAAATATGGCTTACCTATACTATGGCTTCTTTATGTAAAAAGCCTAAATTAATCTCTTCTTTGCAAGCAATATTGTATGCAGTATATATAACATCGCATATATAGAAGTATAAGACGAACCTAGAAAAAATCAGATAAGTAAATCTAATCCTTCAACAAGGTTAATAAAAGGCCCAAATATATAGAATGTTGCTGTAATTGATAATATCGATTTCAAGAATATTGTTTTTAAGTATGGGAATATTTATAATGTTATATAGCAATCCGCATATGCTACTCTAAGGATGATATTTCAATTTGAACTTCTGTTTAGTCTATTATCTCTTATTCAAGAAAATTTAAGCCCTCGAGAAAATCTATTTGATTAATCAGTATTTATATTCAAGTGGGATGATAAATTTAATTAAATAATAGAACAATTACTAAATAAGTATAAAAAAAACTTTGGAATTAAAGAAATTAATAATGAAACACTTACGATTATTAAGCCAGAATGTCGAATAAATCTACCAAACATTGTCATATTAGAACCTGGACCAGCATCTAATAGCAATGATACCATATTTAAGTTAATTAATATGTATCTAGAAGATCTTAAACAAGATATATTTGACTTAGCATGTGATATGACTATTTTGCACGAACTAAATCATATAAAAATAATAATTTAACCTGTCGATTTATCCTTGGACAATGGCATACTTTCAAAACTATATGCAATGCTATAATTTCTGTATTTAGCGG